AAATAAATATTAACCTATTAAATAGGTAATTAAAACTAATAAAATAATCTATAAACTATATAAAAATATTAGGAAAAGTATAAAATATAATATAGAGCTAAAAATAAATATATACTAATATAGAAAAAAAAGTAAATTCTATTATACTGTCTAAAAAAATAATAGATGATATTCAAAGTTCAATAATAGGTTTAGCAAAGTACAAACTGAAAATTGCAAAAACAGTAAGCAATAGCATAATTATATACAGGAATATAGGCAATTAAAACATATTATAGAGTCAACTTGTAATATAACAAATTACAGGTTTATATACAAGACTTAATTTAACTAGGCTAGAAAAGATACTTACAAAAATCAAAATAAACCAAGGCCTTTTGCTTGTTGGCACAACAGAGAAGAATTGATATAAAATTGTATCAAAAATATGTAACAATTTATAAAAAAATAATCTAGCATGTTAAACAATATTAAAAGCAAAGACCTTGCAAATGTCAGTTCATTTTAACAATATAAACATTAAAGAAAAAGATAAAGAATTAAGAATTGCAGAAGTATTAAAAAACAAAATTATCTTTCAGTTAGCTTTAGTACTAAAAAGACTTAATATAATCTTAATAAATTAGCTTATTAATATAGCAAAAAACAAAATAATTTCTTGGCATCAACTTAAATTATTAAGAAAAAAATTGAAGTTTAAAAAAATTAAAGAAATAATATTAAAAAACAAGAACAATAGATAATTAAAACCTTAATATGTATTACCAAATAGAAACAGAAAGGCACTTCAAATATCACTTAATAGTTGCTCAAAAGACAATAGAAAAAGAAAATAAATAGTATTAAAATTATTAAAAAAAAAGAAACTAATAACTTGTTAATAAGAAAGATAGTTATGAACATACTAAAAAAAATACTTACAGAACATTGAAAGATTAAATTAATTAAAAGCAAAACAAGCCAAATTCTTATAAAATATAAAAAATATAGTCTTAATTATATAAAAGAACTAAAAAGTTGTAAAAAATAAAGTAATAGAGAAGAAATTCAAGGTTTACTATCAAAATTTATTAGAAAAAATAAAGACTTACTATTTATAATAAATAAAAAAATAATATATAATTGGCAACAAGAAAGTAGAACTAAAATAAATAAGTCTGAAGCTCAACTTAAAATATAATATGTTACAATTTAGACATAGAATTAATCAAAAAACAGTAGCTAAACAAAGAACTAAAAGAACTTTATATCTTTAAGAATTAAAAAAATTAATCAAATTCAAATAAAAAACTTATCTTTTATATAGATAGTTTATTCAAGAAAGCAGTAACAAACAATGCTTTAGATATTGATCATATAGAAGCAAGCCAGATACAAGTTGATGTAAAAGAAGAAAAAGTAATTAACAAAGGTGCTATAGGTGTCTGAAATTGACTCTTATTAACAAAATCAGAACTATTAACTATTTAGTTAGTAATTTTAATAATACTAAAAAAAAGAAGGATTAAGATTTATATAGATAGTGCAGTAGCAATATCAGGTTTTAAAAAAGAAAAAAAGCTAAAAAAAAGTAGACAATAAATCAAAGAAAAGAATTATGACTTGAAAAGAAGTATAATAGAATTACTTAAATTAAAAGAGTTAGAGTTAGAATTAATTAAAATTAAAAAACATAGTAATAATAAATAGAATACTAAAATAAATAAAATAGCAAAAGAAGAAAATAGTATAAAAAATAGTAATAAAATTATAATTATACTACTACCCAGTTCAAATATATTATTCTGTTAGAAAGAAACAATTGTAGAAGGGCTAACAAGACAATTCATTAAAAATATTTTAGATTTTAAAATTGGCTTAAAATAGAAATTTATATCAATTGTCCAAAAATTAGAACCAAATAAAAAAAAATGAACACAACTAGTCATTATTATGAAAAAAAGTTAGAAATCAAAGTGGAGTCAGATATACAAATATGAAAAAGAATAGAGAAATCGCAACTCTAATTAAATGTGCTAATAAAAAACTATTAGTACTGAAAATCCTAGTAAAGAGATATTCAAATATATACAAAAAAATCATATTGTATTCTATATAATAAAGACTAAAAAGAAGATTAAGAACATTTAGCTATATGTAAAAATCATAAAAAAGAATAGATCATTACAGAAAATTTAGTTATTAATTTAGTTTAGATAATGCTTTAGAAGAAATCTAAAGGAAAACAAGTAAATTAAAACCAACAGAAATCTTATAGAGAAATTTAACAAAAAAAAAAGAAATATAGATCTAAAAACATAAAGAGACTAATCCAAAAAAAAACTAAAACAACAATACAAAACCTTATTCAAACTTTCAAAAAAGCTAAAAAATTTATAATAAAATAGACAAATGTAACATAAAATAACTTCTTTAAAAATATATAAAAAAATGCTATGAAGCAGTTACTAACTAGAAAAAAGCAAATAGAATTAGTTTTGCAAATAAAAAAAAGAAAAAAAATAGTTTAAGAAGTAATATAATTAACAATTTGATAAAAAAGTATATAAAAAAGTTATAAAAAAGAATCAAGACTAAACTATAAAAGAAAAAAAAAATAAAAAAAATAAAAAATACAAAATTCTTGGTTTGGTTATTGATTATATAAAAAAAAAAAGTAAGATTATCTTTTTATAATTCTAATGACTAGCTTAGTATAACTCTTTGATCAAATTAATTTTTGATTAATGTGACAGACTGCTTTTAAGTACACATAGAAGCAGTTGAGAAATGTTAAGCCAGAATTTAAACTAATTTTGTACAAAATCATGTATATACAGTAAGACTCTTAATAAAGATAATTGACAAGACTGCCAAAGATTTAAAAAAAAAAGAATAAAAAGAGAAAAGAAAGAAAAACTAAAGAAACTAAATAAAAAAGAAAAAACAAATCAATAAAGAATAGAAAAAAAAAATAAAAAATAAAAAAAAAAGAAAACAAGTTGAGAAAGAAGTAATAAAAACAATGTTGAGGTTTGTTATAGAAGAAAAAAAATCCTTCCATTATAAACTTTAAGTAATCAAACAAGCAGCTTACTTCTGTTTGAAGTAATATGATAAATTGCATTTAAGTATCATGAAAGTGACCAGGTAATGCTAGACTTAGGTATTAGGAATATTTATGTAGTTACAAATGTAATTACAAATGTAATTTCAAAATCTTAATAAAGTACTAGCATGACTGCTTATAATTAAAAAAAAAAATCTAAACAGGCAAATTTGCCTGCTACAGTCTACAATATAAGGGATAAACCCATATACGTGTCTTAACAAAAAATATCCTTGCATAATTTTACTACGTATATATATATGATAAAACGTTCTGTCACCGCCGGCGACAAGTAGATTATTTTTTAATTATATATTTATGTGAAAATATTTTTACATACGTATATATATATTAATTTACTAATAGTCATTTTGTTAAGAATTAGATCCGTTTAACTATATATTTACTTAATAGATCCGAACAGGGCTGCATTAAGGTTCCCACTCCCTATATTTGGTTAACAGTCTATACCTACGTACTTTACCAAATCTACATTACTTATTTAATATTTAAATTTGTAAATTAATAAACATATATTTGGAATATTATTTTGAATAAACGTATATATTTGGAATATTATTTTGCATCTGCTTACCTTAGTGTCTTTATAACGATAAACGATAACGATAATATTAATACACAAGTAAATATTAAATATATTGTATATGCATATAAAGTTCAGAGTTAAAACTTACATGTGATGTACGTATCATATTTTTTTAGTTGACTATTTTCAGAAATAAAGATTAAGTCCTGAGCTTGTGTTTAAAATAAGATATCCACCCAAATTGTTATATATTCGAATACTGTACTCGAATATCGATATTGAATATCTTGATAAGTAGTCAAAATTTTTATTAAATTAACAAATATGTAGATATAAATATTACTTTAATACGTATTCCAAATACACTTATAGATTCTTAACAGCTAAATGCATGAATTAAAGCAGTAATTATGGAATTAATGGTCCGCAAAAAGTATGTCATGCTAAGGTTAATGGTCTGTGAAAGTAATGTTATGCTGGAGTTGATGGTTCCATACTCCAGCTGGAGTTAACTAACATGCGATGAAAGTTTCGTGAGAGAAATTTTTGAAGAATCAAATACTTAAAAATAACTGCGATGGTGATTGTTAAATTTTGTGCAATGATATTTTAAACGGTTTGTGTTTGTGAGTGTGCTAACCAAATAAGTTAAATAAATATGTTAATAGGGTAAATAGTAAAAGGTAAATTGTAAAAGTGTGCATAGTGAGGTTTTTTTTTTTTTTTTTTTTTTTTTTTTTTTTAAGTATCACATATATTATACGTATAAATAAGAGTGGAGTATCATACCTGTTAGAGAAATCAACTTTTCGTTCCGCGGATATTTTATTTGTAATATAATACAACTACAACCGGACCAGCAGGGTTGCTGCACCATACTTGTACATCCTTCTTGGTAATTTGGTGCATCAGTGTTGACGTAAGCCACTGAATGATCGAAGGCTTATCTTTATACAGAAAAGTAAAGTATATCTCGCGTTAAAATTTATATGTTCGTTCGGTCTATATAGTTTAACTGTTATAACAAGCTCGCAACTACTTTTGTAAATTTTTTTTTCTTTTACCGCTACTTTTAATTTTAAGTATATCTTGGAGTGAACGTTCGGTTCAAATATAGATTAAACATACTTTACAATTCCATGCTATTCGTTCTTTACGAGACCAACTGTAATTAAATAAAGACATGGCTCAACCGGATGTAGCTTCTGCTTTAGTTGCCTGGGTATGGCTTATTTCCTTGCAAGCCTTAAAGATTTTGCGAAATAATCTACTTTTTATTATAAAGATGGCCAATTATCTCTGTTCTTTTTTGTTTATATAGGTGAACACTTTTGATAAGCTCTCGCGTAACGTTAGTTCGATAGGTGATCTTGCTGACAGCGCCATTATGATCGAAGTTGTTTGTGCTATGTAAGGTTTGCTTTAGTTTTAACGACGCTGAGTTTTAAAAATTGAAGTAGTAACACACCAGAAAAATTCCTTGACATTTATTACTCATATTTGGGTGTGAACAATAGTGATAATAAATTTTTCAAGCTTTCAAATGATACTCGCGAGAATAGTTGGGTTCAAAGAGTAAATAAACTCGACCAAATATATCAGCTCCTTATACATTACTATCAAGCGGTCCTTCAACTTTCCACTGTGAATATTGATGCACCTAATCTTAAATCTATTGCAAGAGATGGAAATCTCGAGGAAACAATAAAGCTGTGGTTATTGATCCTTACGTTAGCTGTTAGATCCGCTAATAATGATGTTTATATCGAAAAAATTCTGACTCTGAACCCACAATACCAACAAGGGTTGATGGTCTCCATCGAAAGGGTATGTATCAAATTAGTAAATTCTTTAGCTTTCATTTTCACAGATTATTAATTAGCATATATGCATAGGTAATGAGTAGATTAGGAGAGCCTACTGTTCGATCCTCGCCAATTACGTAATTATTTATTGTTAAGCTATAAACTTGAGATTCTTGCTTGCGTAATATACGATAATATAATCTTTTTATATAATTATTTCAGAGAAAATGAATCAAATAGAAATCATGAAGAATATATGAGACTCATTGCGGAGAAAGAGACTCTCCAAAAAACTTATGCATCTTTGATGGAGGAACACTCCGAGTTGAGCTCTAAATATGTAAATAATCAAATTATGACATTTTAATTCATTTAATATTTTAGTTAATAATTACTTATTTCTATTATACAGGATGATTTACAAGTTTCAAACGAAGAACTAAGACAGAGACTTAGAGAGATGGAAAGTGGTAAAGACTTCCATTTGAGAGCTGAAATTGATAATCTTCGGCACGAGTTGTAAGTATTATATCTTAAATTTATCTATTTATATATTACAATGAACGGTAGATTTGTAACAAAGTCATCTATTCGATTTTAAAGATCTCGAAGTGAAAATCAACGTCATGAGACAGAATTATTGGTTGAAAGAAGCAATATTAGGATAAACGAACTTACCAGACAAGTAATACATCATCATTTTTATCAAATTTGTTCATTGCAATCATATTTATAGATAATATTTATAACTAGGTCGTTGATCTCACGGAACAAGCTGACAAAGCATCACAATTAAATGACCAATTAGATGAACATAGACATACTGTAGATAGGTTAAAGAAAGCTGAGAATGTTATTGAAAAATATAGAAAGAAACTTGATGAGGGTGCAGACCTTAGAAGAACACTCAAAGTGCGTATGATAGAAATTTCTTATACGTGTATAAAAAAACTTACAATTTTAGGTTAACAAATTGTTTTTTCTTTTATTAATCGTAATTTTTAGGCTTTGGAACAGGATAATCGTCAACTTGTTGAACGCAACCAAATTGTAGAAGACGAATATCGCAAGGTTTCCGCTTACAAATCGTTAGTGGAAAATTATAAGAAGCAGATTGATGCTCTTCAGGTCGAAAAGGCTGAATTAATCACTCAAAATAATAAACTTGAATATGAAAATAAACATATGCGAACAAAAATCGAAGTTCATGAAATGTCACAATCTCGTGACATGGAGAGCATACGTTTATTGGAAGACCGTGTAAGAGAACTTGAAATGGGTGATGGTACGTTTGTAAAAATAGGGCTTTAATATACTATATATTTTTCTAAATCTACATATTTGTTCATTATTCATAGGAGAACGACTACAATTAGAAGATGATAATGATAATGATAAAACAGACGGCGAAGTGAATAATATTAATCAATCTATTGGTGATGAAATGTCGGATGCATTGAAAGGAAATACAATAACTGGCCTAAGACTAAAAGTAAATGAACTTGAACGAGAATTAGCAAGGGTGCGTGAAGGTAAACCAGCGGATGGAAATACAGATGCGGAATTAGTAATACTAAATCACATGTTGGAGGATGCCCAACGTGCCAAAGCTAAACTTGAAAAGGTAAATTATTATCTTCTGTTGATCATCCTATGGTCTAAAGTTTTATCTTTAATTGCTGAGCTTGTAAAAACTTTTAAATTTAAAGGATTATGAGAAAGTCCAGAAGGAAAAACTAGAACTAGAAAGTGAATTACAGACACAACAAAATGGTAGTACTTCTAACGGGTAAGTGCTTCTTGTTGGTAATGATAAGAAACTGTTAACTTCACAATTAATGCACCATTTTAATTCTAGTACTGATAAATCTGAAAACAGAAAGAGCATTGACAGAGAATTAGTGGAAACTAGGAGAAAACTTATTGAGACTCAGAGAAAACTTACTCAAGTAGAAAAAGGAGATGAAATCAAATCTGATTGTATGTATTGCGTATATATGTATCACAATTCATGGTAATTTAAAAACAATTTTTAAGGGATAATTTTATTTGGTTTATAATACAGCAATTCTGGAAACTAGAATTAAAGAATTAGAAGCAGAAAAGGAAGAACTGAAAAATCGTAACGAGTATGCTTGAAATAATCATATTAATGCTTTTTTTTTTTTATATAAAGGTAATATATTAACGATTTGATAAAATTTTAGGGAATTGAATTCCTTCATTCGAAATTTGGAAGGTATGAGTGAGGATGATCTTAAGAGTCAAAATGTTCAATTACATCAACAAATCGCGGAGAAAACAAAGAAAATCGAAGCTTCCAAACAGCTCATTAAAGGACAACATGACATAATTGATAATTATAAGATTCGTGAAGCCCAAATTGAATCTGAGAGGAAAGCTTACGCTGAAGAAATCAACCATCTGAAGGTTTGAATCGCTCTTATTCTCTTATAATTATTAATTTCGCAACTGCTTATCCATTATTTTTATCTAATTTGATATACAGCAATCTAATGAAGAGGCAAGACAGCGTGCCGCCAAAGAGATGAATTTGATCACAAGCGCTTGGTTCAGTATGGGCCGACGTATTCAAGGTGACCATGTGTTCTTGCAACGACAGGGACCAACATCATTTCTTGGTCAACAACGCATGATTCTTGATACGCAGGTGAGTACTTAAAATTACGCTAATACTATTGATAACAATTATTATTTATTCATATCTGTTATTTTCACAAAATAGCTGAAGCGGCGGTGACTAGATGTTCTTGAATTGCTGGAACTTATTGCAAAAGCTCATTAAGGATAGGCAGTCACAATGACTTGTTACATTCTGACCAATAATTCCATACATCGTAACACGTTTATTAATTTTGAGCTTATATAGTAACTGCCATTTTACATGCTGGTGAATTATCCTTCCATTTCGCCCGAGTCTTTTGCCTTTGTAACTTAAGATGGCATGTTCCAGCATTTCAATTATTATGAATATTAATACTTTACCTTCAAATTTTTTTATTAATTTTTTTTTCTTTATTTTGTTGATGGTTTTTTTTTATGTATAAACTTTATTTGGCTTAAGAATTTATTTTATATACACATATATATATTCGTTGTATACAGAAACAGAACAAATGTTAATATTTGTGCGTATTATAAACATATAAATAGGACAAATATATGGCTATTTAATAAGGCATAAAGTTGGTTTACAAAATGAATTGTAAAATTTTATTTTATGGAAACTTCTACAGCAAAAAAAGGTAGTGGATAAGAAATTTTGATTTTGTAATTTTATAAAAATTGTATTTTTGATACTTTAATTCAAAAAATTGAGTTTAAAAAAAATTTTTTTTTATCTACTGCTATTTTTTGAGTAGAGTAGATATAAAAAAAAATTAATATAGTAATTTTTTTTCTTTAAACAGTCTTGCTGTTTACTATTATTAGAATTTGCTTTATATAAAAATAATTTTAAATTTAATATTACAAGTAAAATATTTTATGGTTACTTTTATAACTTTTACAAGTAATCTGTTAATATTAGTTAAGTAAAACTAAAAATAATGATATATTGTTACTATTTTAACATAATACTATATTTGAAAGTTTATTTGATTATTGTTTTACAATAAAATATTACTAATTTAATAAAAAACAAATAATTTGAAATTTTATAATTTATTGCATATACAATATATGTTGTATTCTTTTTGTTATTTAAAAGTTTTGTCTATAAAACTATTTTTAAAGTTTTAATAAAAATTTTTTTGTAAAATTTTAATATATTTTATATTTTTGCCTTATTTCAAATTTTAACATCAATCTTAATATTAATAAAAATTTATTTTTGAATTTCTTTTAGTATAGATAGGCATATATAAATTATTACAAAATTATAATATATAAAACCCATCTAATTTAGGCCAATTTATATTATAACCCTAATCCTGACTTTAACTATTTATAAATTTACTTAAATTGATTCAAAATAGTTAATTTATATATATTATAATTATATAATAATTATATTTGCCTACCTATACTAAAGATCAACCTTATTTTTTATTTAAATAATTATTTTTTATTATACAAAAAATTAATCTTTATATAGTAAAATAAAAATGCAATACTTTGTACTATGCAATAAATTATCATTTCTAAAAACTTATATAAAAATATATATATATAAATATATATAAAAAAGAATAATTGGCCTTACCATTAATATTTAAAAAAAAAAAACAAAGAATAATAAAAAAAATGCAATTAATAAAAAATTAAAATGTTAGAATTTTATAACTTAGTAATTAAAATTTTAAACCTTTACAGATAAGATTAATAGTTCAAGATCAATTAAAGACAAAAGTGAATTTTGTTTTTATAATCTTAAAAAGTCAAATAATTAAATATAAAGCCTTATAAAACAAGTTCAAATATATACATAAATCTATATAAAAAAATTTTCAGAAGAAAATCTAATTATAAAATATAAGTATTATATATAATAATAATACTACAAAAGGTTTTGTCTAAATAAAAATTGTACATATAAGTTTTTAAAACAAAAAGATAATACTAATATTTAACATTTTCTAGTTAAGATAATACTAATATTTTTGCATTCAAGTTGTAAAATATTTGCTTAAAAGAATAATATCAAGTTGCACAAATAAGTTTTGTTAAAATGTATAGAAGCAAAACTTAATTGAAAATCTAACTTAAAGTAATTAAAACTAGAATAGCAAAAAAAAGCAATAAATACAAAAATAAACTATAATAAAAAATTGGTCTTACTAAATTAAGAAGCACCTTTGATAAATTATAATAGAAATAATATAAAAGACTAATATATAGAAGTAGTCTAATATCTGAAATATATTTAAAAGTATCAAGCTAGATAACAATTACTTTATAAAAAATTTATAATCAAAAAGTCTAAAATCTACTAATTTTTAATATTTATAATATAATATTATTAAAATTATTCTAGCTAGAACTTAATTTGAAATAGTTAGCTATAGCATTCATAGAAAATAGAGGATGTAATGTCACATTAGGTGCCTAATTGTAGCACAAATATAGTTTAAAAATCTTTAAATTTAGAACTTATATTTTTATATATAATAAAGTTTCTATTTGTGTATTATTTAATAAAAAAAAAAAAAAATTATTAAAATTAGTATAACTTTTTAAGTATTATTATAAAATAAATTTTTTTTTTAGTATTAAAATAAGGTTATGCTCTTTAGTCTTTATTAATATATTTGTTATAACTAGTATAATTCTATATTATATATTATCTATTACTATATATTTATTTAAACATACAACTCAGACATATTTATCTGCAACTTAAACTTACAGAGTTTTGTATTATGTTCTATTTACATCTTATCTGAATTTTTATTTTATTACCAATTATATTAAATAATCTGCATATTCTTTTTATATCTTACAACTTATTTTTAAGGATAAAAGATATATAAATTATTTTTATATAATTATATATAGTATATTAAAATTTTTATTTAAATTTAATATATACTACTAATAAAACTTTTTTATATTTTAATTAATTAATAAAAAAATTTTATAATATCATAAATAAAATTATTTATCTATTATAGTAAAATTTTAATATATAAGGATGGTGATCTTAGTATAGTAGTTGGGTTGTCATCCTCCAAGTGGCAGGTCTAAGGTTCAAATCCCATCTACAATGAAATTTGGAAATTAACTTGTGTTACAGCAAACTGTTTCTTGATGATTAGTTGGATTTGTGTATCTGTAACTTTAAGTTACATCATCTCAAATGGAAGCTCAGGGCATCTATGCCAAGTGTAACATTACATATATATAGAGAAATGTTAATAACCGGTATCACATAAGACTTCAGTGCAAACCTATGATAAGACCACCAGGTGCAGTAAACTAAGGAACCGAAGAGTCAAAAGCTTACTTGGAAATTCCCAAGTAAAGAGGTAGCATGAACTTTTGACAGTATAGTTAGACTGATGGAAGTCCATGAAACATCTCCAAAAAAATAGACAAATAAACTAAATGTCAAAATGTGTAGAAGAGCATATAACCAACCAGGCTGCCAGAATCACTGAAGGAAAAAGATACATAAGTATACTATACTAGACTATCCGAATTGGAAATCTGAGGAGTCCTGTCGGTCCTAAGTAGTGGTTAGTAAGAGATGATGAAGAAAACATTGTGATGATAAGTACTGAGGTTCTAGTGAAATTTACAAGAGTAAAAATAGTGTAACATAGTAGTTAAACAGGTAACCTCTATGACTGCAAGTGTTAGATAACTATAGCATGTTGCATAAAACTAGATTAGCTGTATGTGGGACACAGAAGGTTCTAGTAAGTTTCCTGTCAAGGATAAACTAGT